GAGCTGGAGGCAAACCTGGTAGCTATGGAGATTTCAAGATGTCAATCACACAGACTTGAACAAAGGAGCATGATTGGAGAAATATTTAAGGAGGTAGAATTGGCAAGTCATTGGCATTACTGGATGGTAGACATACTGGAAACAGTGGTTTATGAACTTTAGCTGTTACAGTGAAGAAAGATAAGTACCAGATGTTCACTAATAAATTGGCTTTCAGAAGACATTCTTCAGGAGTGATCGATCCTAAGCTAAGTGGCTGGATTCACATGAAACCTGCCTTTAACTGTCCTCAGTGCCCAGGTACATTAAAAACCTCCTCCAGAGATCCTGACATAGTCAGATTCATTTTTGGCTCAGTAGGCCTGGGAGGTGTGGGATTCTTTAAATGAATTCAGAGAGTAGCAGGGAGGAATGTTTTGGAGTCATAAGAGATTGCTTCACTGAAAAGCAGGGGAGATGAAGTTGAAGAGAGAGATGGGCCCATTTAAAGAGAGAACCCCCGACAGGTTCATTGAAAACTTTAAGCAAAAGGGAGTTAATAATACGGCATTTACAGAGGTACAGACGGTGCGTAGACACACTCAAGGAGAATGACCATGTAGCTCTGCGGCATGCACTTCTGATAACACCGTTCATGTCGAATAGATCCTGCAAACCTCAAAAGAACAAGTAAGAGTGAATCTCCTCCTCAAAGAGCTCTGACCTCTTCAGGGTAAGGAGAAAAGAGACCAGAGAGGGTGCTTGCTGTGTACTCCTGAGTTGCACCAGGGTTGGAGCAGAGGGAGTGGAGAGATGTGACAGTGAGAACACCTGTAGAAGCATGAGTCCCCAGCACTTACTTTTGTCCCAGCATGCCTGTATTTCTCCCTGTTCACCTCTCTCCAGTTGCATCCACCCTGTCTTCAGTAGCTTATGGCACTGCTCAAATGCTGACAGATCCAATGAGCCGGCTGTTTAGATGCACACTTGCATCTTTACGTTAGACATCTCAGTTTAGATGAAAAAACTAATTCCTTGCCCCATAGGCTAACAGATAAAAGGCATGGAGAGAAATAGAAGATTCTTACCATATTCCTCTGTCTTGTTTAAAGCATAGTCCCGTAGTCTATCAATCTATCGCAGCAAAGATTTTACTCCATTGCTTACTATGGTGAGCTACCTGCCTGAGCATGGGGAAGCTGGGTGCCCTTCTAGCCATGGAAGGAACTGATCTAAGTGGCTGCAGTCTTGTTCTCTCTACTGCTACTGTGGGTCGTGCCGTGATTGCTGTTTGTGTTACCTTCTTCCTTCTCCCCCATCTCCCTTTGCCGTCCTCTTTACCTCTGAGCAAAGCTCTTCACAGTAACTCACATCGCAGCCGCCTTTACTGTCGTCATCGTTTACACTTCATATATGTGCTTGCATGTGTGGATGTGGGCACACACATGCCACGTGCACGGGTGGCAGTGAGAGGACTCCTTGTGGGAGCCATTCCTTTCCCCGAACCATGCGGTTTCTGGGGATCAAACTCACGTTGCCAGCCTTGATGGTAAGTGCCTTTACCCACTGAGGCATTTCTCTGAACCTTTCCTTTCTTACTCACGCAGTAAAATTCCAAGTCCTTGATCATGCCCCATAGCATCCGTGATCTGACTTTGATGTCTTCTCGAATTAGTCCTCTTGCCCACTCCAGGCACACGTATCCTCTTTACTGTTCATAGACTAGTCTAAACATTCCCTTTCCCTTTTGAGGCCTCGTTTCTTGTTCCCTGTGTCTGGACTCCTCCTCCAGACATCTGCATGATTTTCTCTGTCACTATCTGCAGATATTTGCTTAAATATCATCTTGTCACCAAGTTCTTCCTGGCCACCTGGCCTTCTCTAAGTCCCCTAAGCCATCTTCATTTTTTTTCATACAGCTTTAATTCAGTAAGATGCATTTATTACCCCTGGAATTTGCTAATCACCTGCCTCCCTCACCAATATTGGCCCTTCTACGGAGGGGGGATTGTTTGCTCTGTCTCTGTATTTCTAGCACTTAGAATGTCAACCAGTGCACGGCCAGTGTTCAATATACTCCTTTTCAATGAATTCAATGCATGATTATTATGCACAGGTGTAGCTGGAAGTTTTTCTGTGTTCCACTTGGCCTGCAGTCAGGACAAATCTCTCACCCACAGTCCTGCAGCCTTTTATAAAATAATCACACAGAGGCTTAATATTAATTATAACTGCTTGGCCATTTGCTCAGGCTTATTACCGACTAGCTCTTGCACTTAAATTAGCCCATAATTCTTATCTATGTTTAGCCATGTGGCTTGGTACCTCTTTTCAGTTCTGCCTTCACATCTTGCTTCCTCTGTGTCTGGCTGGTGACTCCTGAGTCTGCTCTTCCTCTTCCCAGCATTCCTTTAGTCTGCTCGCCCCGGCTATACTTCCTGCCTGGCTACTGGTCAATCAGTGTTTTATTAAACCAGTGTACGACAGCATTATCCCACAGCACACAGGGTTTTAGAAGGTTGCAGGGAGGATATGTGGCATGTCTTGTCAGGGTCGGGGTGAGCTGAGAAGTTTTTCTTAAGGTGGTAAAGTTTACACTTCCTCTTTTTCCATTCACATTTATGCCTGAAGTTTCTCTTGAGTCTTCCTGACAACAGGCACCATCCTAGGATGAGGGATGTAGCCGCCATGAGGACAGGCAAGGGCTTCTTATTGTGGAACTTAGAATCTAGTTGGAAAGAGACAAGAAAGCCAATCTATAAGAAAATGAGAAAAATATCTGATAGTGGCACACACTATGTAGAGAGCTAAAATAATGTGACTTTAAAAGGACATGTGGGGTTGACTTTAGGTCCTGAAGTATGTGCCTCTAAAAAGTGGAGGGCAGAGGAATGGTAAGAAAGTATTCCTGAGAAGAGGAAGGGGTGAGAATTCACGGCACAGAACATAGCCAGGGCCAACTTAAGAGCGGGGTGGTCTTCAAGGTGTGAGAGCTACAAGTGGCACATATAGTTGTAGTCAGGTAGCAGGGGAGAGAGATCTGAGATTAGATTGGAAGAGCCCTAAGAATGAGCAGGATCCAGCAGGCAAAGATGGGAAGAACCAGCCAAGAAAGTGGGGTGGGTGGGAGAGAAACATGGCCAGGGGAAAGAACATCCAAAGCAGAGGACCGTGGGAGCAGAAGAGGCTTTTGTGTCTGATGGACTCCGAGCTGTGTTTCTCCTAGGCTCACTGTATAACTGAAGAAGAGCCAGTTTCTCATGAATTCCCTGGGACCGTATCTTGTTGCAGTTGAGGAAAGAGAACAGTTCCCTAGAAAACATACCTTCCAGGAGAAGATGTATAATTAACTGCCCACAGAGAGCGGCGGCACAAGGTACATTCTTGGAAGATTCAGCTAACATGCGTTTGGGCTTCTGCTACGCTAGCAGCTGGGAAGCAGACACTACTTGGTGTATTTGGCTCTAAGCTCAGCACCATCTCACAGGTACCCCGTTCCCATGCGTGGTGTAGATGCGGTACTCTAACATGGGCAGGCAAAGGCGCTCTGGGGTTCACGTCTGCTCTGTGCTCACTGCTGTGTGCACTCACTTCCACCCCACACCTCACTGAGGGCTGCAGCCCACCAGCCATCAGTTTACTGTGGGTCCTTTTGAAGTCTTCCTCTGGCTACTTCAGTCTCTGCCCATGGCTAGCTCTAATTTACAAAACACACTTTTATTCCTTTTATTTTCTTCCTTTGCTGATCCTGGTTGGTGCCTCGGGTTTTTTTGTGTGGAGGCTGTTCCGTGCTCAACACCTTCCTCCCTCTGCTGACAGAAATGATGCACTGCAAACTCAAAGCCCCAGTTAACATGCCCAGACACTTTTCTCTCCCTGAAGTAATTGAGTCCCCCAAAGAATGCCTAAGTCCTTGGGAATCTTGACAGTTTGGGGCATTTGTAACGAGTGGGGAGCTGTTATCAGTACGGCCAGAATCCCCAGAGAAGGCACTGCTGAAGTCATGTCAAAGGATTTAATTTAGGTTTCCCATTTATCAAGGAAATGGTGACTTATGGGTAACTGCTCAGTGTGTGTCATAATGGCTCATTGCTGACTGACAATGTTCACCAAGATTGAAGCCATTCAGAGGTGATTACTTCCGAAACCATATTTGAAATCATCATGAGGTGTACTGAGATAAGCTCTTTATCCAGGAGGTAACAAATGGAGGGTGAAATTTTCTGCCTCTAACAATGGCATGTGATGTACTCTTCTCCCTTGAAGCCCTGTTACATATTCATCACCTGACACGTAAACACGAAGTTGAGAGCACCTGACAGTTAAGCTTCCCATGGTAAATGAGGCCGAACATTTCTGAATAAGTAATATTATTTGCTTTAGAAGCCATCGACTTTAGGTTTTGAGTGTCCAAGATATTTCCAGCATTTTTCTATCATGCGGTAAAATAAAATTGCTGGAGTTGGTGAGATTTAGTAACGATGTGCATAGTTACTGTCTTTGAAGGACCAACACACACACACACACACACACACACACACACACACACACACACACACACACAGGGGGTGGGCTTGGCCAAAGGCACCTCAGTGAAATATGTAGGGAAGAAGACAATCCCCACACAAGCACAAACTGAGAGCCAGGATAAGGGAGGGGAGGGACGTCCGCTTGCTGAAAGGAAGTACTGTAAAAGTTGATCCTGATTTTAGATGCAACATATTCCTGTGGACATTAGCTTAAGGTGGAAGTTTCAGCAACTTTCATCTTTGTTGGTAAGAAGAGAGACTAGGAAAAAGCAAAAAAATATGCTTTGAAGAAAAAGATGAGAAATATACCAGGCGGAGTCCAGGAAAGAGATGCATAAATACGAAACTGTCAAAATTAACTAAGTCATTTCCATTTTTCATGCATTTCTTTTCTCATATTTAAAGAAAGAAAAATGTGTCTTTGTAGCACCTGCGCTGTGATAGGAAGCAAACATTGCCTATCCTGATGATAGAAAAAGAGGTGACTGTTACCTGAAATTCCAACCCATAGTTTTCTCTGCAGAATTCTCGCAGTTTGGGATACACGGTTTCTCTTAGTGCCTGCCGCTCTGCTCCTGTATCTATAACAGAAAACAAACAAAACAAATGAGTATGCCAATACATACTGCTTGGAAAATGAAGGACTAAACAATAATATAAATGCAGTCAAGATGGGGGCCTCAGGTGCGATGTGATCTTTGGCTACTGGGCTATTTCTACAGAGATCTATCCGCTACGCCTGTGCAAAAAAAGCCCAAGGGATGGATGAAAACCTCAACTGCCAGCTCTGTGTGGCCAGCAAGGCTGTGAACTTAGAGTTGATTGTTCATGCCCAGGTAGGTGTTTACACTTTTCCGTATCCATGCCCCAGTGTCTTTGGAGGAAGGAGAAGGAAGTGTTGTTGGGCTAACAGATGTGTGAGCTTAATACATCACAAGCATTTACAAATATACAGATTGATTGGTTTAGTTATAAATATGCAAATATCTGGACTATACTATTATTTTCTATAGTGTTTAGAAATAATTCAGCTTTTTACACACTTAAGTGCAGCATCCATGTAATCAGTACAATATTTAGGAATAATACATGATGGAAACTACTATTAACAACTATCAGATCTCACTGTCTGTAGAGTCAGTAGCCCAGCTGTTTAACAGGATGACATCTCTCCCTGGAGCTTAGAGATGTCCTGCTGTATCACAGACAGAAACTGTTTTTATAAATGCTATATCACAAAAGAGCTCTGAAATATATTATTCCCAGTTATTAAAAAATGCAGGAAGCAATAGAGAAACTGAAACCAGAAGAGTTGTTCAATAAGTATTATGTGATTAATTTTAAACATTTTACAGAGACAGAGATAGATAGATAGATAGATAGATAGATAGATAGATAGATAGATAGATTCCAAAGCTTTCTGTGTTGCTAAATGCCAAAATTCTGCCATTAGTGGTGACCTCCTTGAGATTCTTGCTGCCAAGAGTCTGTTGCTTGCTTGCCTGACTTCAGTAAACACAAGAACCACAGTCTTCAAGAACTGGGTTAATGTGGTCTCTCATGGAAAACATATTTGCTAAATGTACCTCAATCCCAGCTACAATACAAACTGTCCACACATCTCATTTATAACAAAGATAATAACTTAAAAGAATATCCTTGTTATTCTCCAGCACATCTGTCCATGAAAACTCGGCCATATGCTGTGCTGACCTACCCTATTTTTCCTACTGTTCTCAAGCCTATTTTGAGAAGCAAATAACCAATTATGGGCCTAAAATGCAGCTGTAGCTCTGCAACATGGCAGAAGCCAGTTTTTACAGGGAAGCCTGAAGCAGAGGAATACAAGGTTTTCAGATAAATTGTGACCTGGGCAAACAGGGTCTTTTCACACCTTAGAGCCAACAGGGTCCAGAGTCTAAAGGGAAAGGGAATGCAGGAGGACCATACTGAGCAAGTCCTGTGGTGTCACAGCATTGCCGGAGGCAGCACATTAAGCTTTTGTATGATTTATGTAATCTTGGCATCAGAAACCCACTATCCCTTGACCTATTTTGAAAGCTGAAAACATTAACTTTGTAATAAAGCTGATAATAGTCAATATCTCTTAAAAGCCTTAGCAGATTTTAAAAATCAAATCACTGAAAGGTCACTTAAAAAAATAAATCCTAGCTGGGTGTGGTGGCCTATGCCTTTAATCCCTGCATTTGAGAGGTAGAGGCAAGTGGACCTCTATGAACTCAAGACCAGTATGATCTTTTTACACATAGAGTTCCAGGACAGCCAGGGCTACAAAGGAAGACCCTGTCCCCCAAATCCAAAATATAAACAAATAGTACAGTGCATGGAAGTCTGGAGCTATTATTAAAGAAGGGTTATCACCCTGAAATTTAAAATATTGATGTTTGATGAATGAAATAATTATGGTATCATATGAGGAACATTAAAAAACTGTTATTGTAATTCTTATTTCTTGGTGTTAAGAGTTTGATGTGCAATAGCCAGGAAGAAAAGAGTAATGTAGGAGCTACTTACTAACATTTATTGAATGCTTATGACAGTCGGTTAGTGTGCTGACTAATTCTGTGTGCATTTTCTTAAGCAATTTCTAATGATGGTTCTGTGGAAAAGTAACATGTGTGTGTTTTCCTGTTTTTAATCAGAAGAAACCAAATGGTAGAAGGTCTAAGAAAGGTGCCCTAGGTTAGATGGTCTTTAAGTAGTCAAACTCAGACTTGAATTCAGGCAGCCATACCAGGGGTTACTTTGCTTTAACTACAGAAATAGACATCTGTGAAAAGAATCAACCTTTGAATATAATCCATCGTTATGTTATGGTTAAGGGAGGTGTGAAATAAAAAAAATACTGAAGTTAGAGACCTTGCTTACCATAAATAAGGTCCTGGTTTCATCCTCAGTCCCTCCAAGAACAACAGTAAAAAAATACCAAGTTTATAGTATGACTTTCTCTTTTGGAGTCAGCAGGCCTAAAATCCAACCGGAAAGTGGTTGGTTACCCCCGTAACTATTATCCATAACTCATCTTGCTTGGCAGGCTGGTGTTGTAACCCATAAGTTTGTGATAGTTTGGTTGTGCTCTTGATGACTTTTCACCCTCAGCAGCCTGCATATCACTTTTGTTATGGTAAAAGCTAGCTAGCAGGGAGGAACCTTTGAGCTCAGCTCCAGCTTGATTTCTCTGTCCTATGTAGTGTCTTTGGCAATAAGGTCTTACCATCTAATTCTAGTGGGCAATCAATAGCCATGACAACAGCCTGTACTGTTTTTCAGGGAGTCTGGAGTCTCACTGACCAATAACTCTTTAGAAGGGATCTCATACCTGGCACTGTTTAATAACTTATAGCTTCTGGGAGCAGCAGCATCTACCCATGATCCTCAGGGTACCTTCCTTCAAACTTACACACACACACACACACACACACACACACACACACACACACACACACGCACATATATACACGTATATAAAATCATATAAATATACATGTAAAACATTTTTATACATATGTTTTGTGTATGTATTATTTAGATTTTATTTATTTATTTATTTGTGTGTACATGTATGAGTGTGTGTGTGTGTGTGTGTGTGTGTGTGTGTGTGTGTGTGTGTGTTGCCTGCATGTATATCTGTGCATCATGTGCAGTGCAGGTCTGGTGACCATGGAAGTCAGAAGACAGCATTAGATCTCCTGACACTAGAGGTATAGACAGTTGTGAATTATCATGTGGATGTTGAGGATCAAAACTAGGTCCTCTGCATAAGCAACAAGTGATCTGAAGGGCGGGGCCATCTCTCCAGCCCTTAAGTTGTATTTTAAAATTAACGTTAAAATAGTATGATTCCATATGGCTTTTTCCTATGTCCTTAGTGTTGGCTAACCATGCTCCCCATCTTCCCTGTTTCACAGCTACTTCCATATCATTGTGTTCTACTATCCTCTCTCCCTTAAGACCTCCTCTCTTCCCTTTTAACTTCCTGGTTGCTATAGGCACTCCAAGTTAAACCCAGAAATCTAAAAGTTTGAAGCTAAGATCTGCATATGAGAACTTGAAGCTTCTGTTTTTCCAGGCCTGATTCCAAGGAAAAATTCATGCATGGGACTAGAAGCCTGGTCAAAAGCCCAGGGCTAAGAAGGTCCTAGGTCCTAGGGAGGAGTCTATCACAGTTGTCTTGCTGTATGGACACGATATCAAACTGCCTTCTAAAGATTCATGTTTATACCCATGGATTAGTGCTGCTCTCAGCCTTGGTCAGAGATGCTTCTTTTTGATGTAGAAATTTAGTTAATCCTGAGATTTCTAGCTGGTGAAACTCCTGAGAGTAAGGGGTTGTTGAGTTCTCAGTCCTTAACAGAACATCTGTATCATCCCTTCTAAAGACCAGGGAAACATCAGAGAGGGCAGGAAGAGCAGAAGACCCAAAGTGTAAGAAGGAGGGCCATGAAGTGCTTTTTTACTCAGCATGACATGGCTGCTGCACTCATGAGCTCATAGTGCCAGTATCTACCTACACAAGACAGCCCATTTGGCGCTGGAGGGATGTCTCAGTATTTAAGAGCACTCGTTACTCTTGTAGAGCTTCCATGTTTGGTTCCCAGGACCCACATGGTGGCCCACAACCATCCATAACTCCATTTCCAGGGGATCCAACGGCCTCTTCTGACTTGTGTGGTCACCTTGCACATATGTGGTACACATACATACTTGCAGGCAACACACTCAGACACATAAAGAAAGACTGAGTCCATCAGCATTCCATCACGGGTTAGGGAGGGGCTTGTAAGTCTCTGCTCATCCCTGAGGAACTTTAGGCAGTTAATGGTTGGGCTGGGGGATGTGTGTGATATTCCTCAGTGGTAGCCATTGGTAAGTTTCTCTTGATCGAGCAAATAAATTACCACCCATGCTCAGGGTGCCAACTCTAAGCAAACACAGTGGGTCATAAAAAATAAAAAAGACATGAAAACAGGAAGGAAACTTGAGAAAAAGAAGGGGTTTGGTGGGAGAAAAAGGGGAGAGAGAGGAGGACAATGGTGAAGACCATGGTCGTAGTCCACATATATGTAGTGAGATCATGAAAGAATAAAAAGTTCTTTTCCCTCTAGGATATACTCTTTAACAACCAGATCATTAGTAAGCTCTCTTAGTCTCCTCTTAAAGCCTCAATGAGTCTACTTTCCTCACCACTGGTACTGGTTACAAGTCTCATTTGGACTTTGTCCATTTTCCATATTGGAATCCTCCAATACATATACCACAGTCTCCTGACTGATCTTTTCAAGTGTAGTTCACATTACATGTCTAGGATGAAAGACACACTTCTTCGGTTGAATACTCTTTCTTGCCCTAAGCTTATCTCCCAACACTTACGTTCATGTCACCCCCAGTGCTGGCCTTCACTGTCCCTGAGTTAAACTTCTACCCTGGATCTTTGCTCGTGCTGTGTCCTGGAATGCCTGGCTCTGTGATCAGCTCATAACCCCTTGTGTCGTTTAAGTGCCAGCCTCAATGCTTCCTCCTCAGAGAGGCATTCCTGGAGCACGGACTACAGAAGCCAATG